GAATGCCTGGTCCACTACTGTGCGCTGTGATACCTCCTGCTGCTGCTAAGCCACTACAGGACACAGCGAGGAACTTGCTATCTGACACATCAAGAGACGTCAGTTACAGTGTCAAAGAAACGTCAGTTACAGAGTCAGTTGCAGCCAGGGGCGGACTGACAACTCATGGGGCCCCCGGGCACTAGGGGATCATGGGGCCCCTGTGTCCTTGCCCAAACTCAAAAAAGCCTATGAAAAAGGTACCAGGGGCATCTCATGGGCCCCCTACTGACCCCGGGGCCTCGGGCAGTGCCCTAGTTTCCAAATGGTCAGTCCGCCCCTGGTTGCAGCACTACAAGACAGCAAAGATAGGAAACAATTCCCACTGGAAAAGTATGAGTAATGTCCTTTTGAAGGCTGGTTCCTTTTACCATCGAGTTTCCAAGTAACAGGTTGTAGATCAACTCTAGACAACAGGGTGGTCAGAGGGCAGTGCCAGAATCAGAGAGCAGAGCCCGTATTTTAGCAGGGTCACATTTATTCGGAAGAGGTCAGCAGCCACAACACTTTAATGAGATCAGCAAACACATGAACAGGATAAATTCCAGAATTAAAAGCACAGTCACAGATCTGCAGCCATAGCTAGATAGCATTGCTATGGTTACCGATTCATGAGGATCAAAATGATTTTGTAAGTAAGGAAGCAATTAAAAGCCAAGTTCACCTTTGCGCATATTTTTGCAGAAAAAAAAATGTGCGTTTATTATTTTTTTCCTACAGGAGCCTGCAAAGCATGGCACCTGCGATCCTGCAGACATGTCCTCCAGATTTCTGCCCATACCTTCTGTTTAATGAAGATTTCACTTAAACTTATCTAACACTGTAAATAATATTGTATTATGAATATATTTCAGTTAGAGCTTTATCAGTGCGGGTGTGCAATATGTCTTCCCATAAATTCTTCTATAGATACCATAGTTGCCAAAGGGAATATTCTATTAATTACACCCTCTTTACTGTATAATAGACGTCTTTGCTGAGAATCCTCTTTCAGACAGTTGCCAGAGTTAGTTTATCTAACAATGGGACAGACCTGTTGGCTTCTCAAATATGCACTTCAAAGGATCCCTTAGAATGAAGGTGGCCAGGCGTTCATGAATACTTAGTTTCCCAGCAAAAGGTCATGAAGCGGCATGCTTAACCATTATCCGCCCGGCCAATGGCCGTTTGGCGGCTTCAGAAGTGTCTCTGCACTCCAAGTGCACGCCATTTGGCGTGCTCCCGCACATGCGCCGTTTGCGCTAATGCAGAGCGGCGCAGCAGTGCGATCTGTCACCGGCCGTGCACCTCGGACACGGCCGATGACAGATCCGAGTAGCGGCTCCAGTTGCTGGTACCATGTGACCTGCTGTGACCAATCACAGCAGGTCACATGACAGTTGTATACAATGGATGGCTTCATTCATGATGCCATCCATTGTATACTAGTGCCTAGCTGTGAATGGTCACAGCTAATCACATGCACATGTCATGTGATTAGCTGTGACCAAATCACAGCTAAGCACAAAAAAAAAAAAAAGCTGAATGAATCGATGTCATTCAGGTAAATGCTTGCTTATAGCAAAGTAATTCTTTGCTATAAGCAAATTGTGTAAAAAAAAAAAAAAAAAAAAAAAAAATACTGATCACTTCCCCAAAGTAGTACAATGTTACTATGGTAACATTGTACTACTTTGGTCATAGTAAAATATGAATAAAAAATCTTAAAAAAAAAAAAAATGTAATAAAAAATTAAATATAATAAAAAAATTTAAAAAAATGTAAAAAAAAAATATATTTTTTTTTTTTCATACTGTCACCAGTCAGTGTCCCTGTTAACCGCCATGCCAGTTATATGATGACGCTGTACTGCACTGGTTACAGTATGTAAAAAAAAAAATAGTGAAAATAATTTTTTTAATTTTTTCATTTTCCGAAAAATTATGACAAAAAAATACAACTTCAAAAAACTCGCCATGCCTCTTATGAAGTACGTCGGACTGTCTACTCTGCAAAAAGGGGTCATTTGGGGATATCTGTACTATTCTGACTTTCTTGGGCCTCAAGAAATTAGATTGGCTGTCAGTACTTCAGGACTGATCAATATTCAGATCTATCCCATAGTTTGTGAACTCTATAACTTTCCTACAAACTAAATAATACATCCTAATTTGGGTTATTTTCACCAAAGACATGTAGCAGAATACATCTCGGCCTAAATTTATGAAGAACAATTATTTATTTGTAAACTTTTATAACAGAAACAAAGAAAAATGTGTTTTTTTTTCAAAATGTTTGGTCTTTTTTTGTTAATTTAGCAAAAAATAAAAACCCCAGCGGTGATTAAATACCACCAAAAGAAAGCTCTAGTTGTGTGAAGAAAATGATAAAATTTTAGTTTGGGTACAGTGTTGTATGACCGCGCAATTGTCATTCAAAGTGTGAGAGCGCTGAAACCTGAAAAATGGCCTGGGCAGGAAGGTGTAAAATTGCCCGGTATTGAAATGGTTAAATTCCATTAAGGGTGTGCGCGCAGCACCGCGATCCGGTGCCCGCTGCGTCCTCCGGACACAGTGGAACACAGACCGTCGGACGGGACCTCTGTACGAGGTCCCGATCATGTGATCACTGATTGGCCAATCAGTGATCAAATGCAGAGTAGTAAGCAGGATGTCACTTCTGACATCATTGCTTACTACGTGTGAAATCTGTGAATGATCACAGAAGTCACATGGTGCAAGTAGTTCTCAATGGCTGCAATAATGCAGCCAGAGGGAAGGAGAAATTATTGCTTTTACAGCCTTTATGGGTGTAAAAGCAATCAGTGTAAAAAAAAAAAAAAAATCTTCATCACCCCCCACAAGTAGTACAGTGTCACCATGGTGAAACTGTACTGCTAGGGTGTCAGTATGTAAAAAAAAAAAAAAAAAAAAAAAAACAAATATAAATGAAACAAAGCAAAAATGTAAAAAAAAAAGTTTCAAAATTATAATTTTTGGTTATAAACTAATTTGGGTTATTTTTTTTTTTTACTAAAAAGATAACGGAATACATTTTGGCCAGGATTTATGATGAAAAATTATTTGCAAAATTTTATAAGAAAAAACACTTTTTTTCAAAATATTTGGACTTTTTCATTTACATAGCAAAAAAAATAAAAATCCCAGTGGTGAATAAATTCCACCAAAATAAAGCTTTATCTGTCTAAAAAAAATGCTAAATAACTCCATGTGTATAAACGGCCGGAGCAGTTCAGGAGCGGGTGGCTGTTTATAAACGTCCTCCTGCTTCCCTGCCTGTGCGTGCTCCCTAGGAGTGCGCGGCACCGCCATCCGGTGCACGCTGTGTCCTCTGAAACACCGATCGCTGTATGGGACCTCTGTGTGATTGGCCAATCAGTGATCACGTGAATAGTAGTAAGCAAGATGTCACTTCTGACATCATTGCTTACTACTAGTGAAATCTGTGAATGATCACAGAGGTCACATGGTACAAGGCTCTTCACAACAGCCTAAAAATAAAAATCATCACCCCCCACTATGGTGACACTGTACTGCTAGGGTGACAGCATGTTAAAAAAAAAAAAACAACATAAATACTAATATAAAAAAAAAATAAAATAAAAATGTAAAAAAATGTTTTGAAAAATTATAAAATTTTTGGTTCTAAACTAATGTGGGTTATTTTTTTTTTACTAAAAAGATAGTTGAATACATTTTGGCCAAGATTTAAGAAGAAAGATGATTTATTTATTTGCTAAATTTTACAAGAAAAACACTTTTTTTTTCAAAATGTTTGGACATTTTCATTTATATAGCAAACAAATATAAAAATCCCAGTGGTGAATAAATACCACCAAAATAAAACTTTATCTGTCTCAAAAAAAATGCTAAAAAATTCATATGGGTACAGTGTTGCATGACCGCGCAATTGTCATTCAAAGTGTGATAGCACTGAAAGCTGAAAATTGGCCTGGACATGAAGGGGGTAAAAGTGTCCCATAAAGGCTGTAAAAGCAATCATTTCTCTTTCTCTCTGGCTGCATTCTAGCAGCTATTGAGAACTACTGTGTGAGCTGTGATTGGTCACAGCTTGTCACATGGTACGAGGCTGTTGTGAATAGCCTTGTACCATGTGACCTCTGTGATCATTCAGAAGTGACATCTTGCTTACTACTCTGCATGTGATCACTGATTGGCCAATCAGTGATCACATGATCGGGACCTCACAGAGGTCCCATACGACGATCGGTGTTCCACTGTGCCTGGAGGTCACAGCGGGCACTGGATCGCGGTGCTGCGCGCTCCCAGGGAGCGCGCACAAGCAGGGGATGGGGAGGCCGTTTATAAACAGCCAACCGACCCTGCACTGCCACCGTCCGGCCGTTTATATACAACGGCTGGACGGAAAGTGGTTAAGGCAAATCTTGGCACACCCTTTATGGAATTTAAGCATGCCATTTCATGACCTTTTGCTGGGTGGTTAACAATGACAATCATGCTAATGTACTCTCTACTTAAAGCGGAACTTTACCCGTAACACTGTGAAAAAAAATAATGTTCTTTATCAAGGAACACACATTCCACATTAATAATTATTCTACCAAAATGAGTGTGTGCTGTAAATTTCCTCCAGCACTGCTCCTGTTTCTTCTTGCCGGAGGCCGCCATTTTGTTGAAGCCCAGAGCCCCAAGCAGCAGTAAATCTTTAGGCTGTAAGCAAATCAGCCTCTACAGATTCGATAGTGCTTAAAAATATTGAGCAATGGAGCATGTGTAGAGCAGGGAGAGAGTGTATTGCTGGATTTTAACCAGTATAGGCACATATTTGTAATGTTTTACATAGCTAGAACTGCAACTGAAGTGATCTAACAGGAATTTTCTGACTAAAGTTCCACTTGAAGTTTTTAACTAAGATAGAAGCCAATCTGCCCAACTAGAGTGGATTCTTGTATCGCATGGCGTCACCTCTTGATGTTGTACCTTAGCTAGAAGATGTGGCAGAGCGACAATCATGTGATGACTCAGTCTGCTTTTATCCTCTGTATGGGCCTTTCTGTCCTTCATGGACTGAACCTGGAACAGATGGGAGGTATGAGCCCGAAGAGATCGGAAAGACCACATTAAGGTTTCTCTTCATAATCACTCACTTTCTTTACAGGCACTCGACCGATAGGAGATGTCCCTTCTGCAGCTTGCCTTAAGGAAGACACCAAGAGCTCTATCAGAAGGCTCTCTCCCTGGTCATTCAAACCTAAACAAGAATATAAAATTCTAGATCAATATAAGACCTTGGCAGACAGGTTATGATGAGAATATTTTTGAACAATTTGGAACATGTCACATTTAGGTTTTTTGTAGAAGAGGTGTCACAATGGACAAGTAGCCTCCCTAGCGGTCTGATTATGTCCATATTTCTGTGCTCAAAGCGGTACTTTTTTTGCATGGAAATATGTCGTTTTTTTTATTGTAGGCCTGTAATTCTTAGGAATAACTCACTGAAATCTGTCTGAACAAGAGTCTAGTAAACATCCCGGGTATGATAAAATTTGAAACACGAAATCATAAATTATAATTTAATAATCATAAAAAATAATAATAATAATAAATTTAATTCAATAATATAATCAAACCAAAAACACTGAAATGTGAAATATAGCGCCAAGTTCGCACATCACTGAGCTCAGTCGCAGAATCGTTTTCAGTGTCTGATGAGGAATTTCCCCCACCAATCATTATCACTCAATTCTGCAAGTGGTTCTAATTTACTATCGCTGTTTCTGCATTGTCTTGATTGAAGCTTACTGAACCCAAACACAACATTTTACGTGTAGCCTCCCTAGCGGTCTGATTATGTCAGTATTTCTGTGCTCAAAGCGGTACATTTGTTTGCATGGAAATATGTAGTTTTTTTATTGTAGGCCTGTAATTCTTAGGAATAACTCACTGAAATCTGTCCGAACAAGAGTCTAGTAAACATCCCGGATATGATAAAATTTGAAACACAAAATCATAAATTAATAAATAATCATAAAAAAATAATAAATTTAATTCAATAATATAATCAAACCAAAAACACTGAAATTTGAAATATAGCGCCAAGTTCGCACATCACTGAGCTCAGTCCAGAATCGTTTTCAGTTTCTGATGATGAATTTCCCCACGAATCATTATCACTCAATTCTGCAAGTGGTTCTGATTTACTATCGCTGTTCTCTAGCCGGTCTAAAACCGCTTTTGACCTAAAGGGACGCTTTTTGGACGCCATGGACGTTTCTCAGTTTCCAGGCAGAAAGAACAGTAAAAATGCAGGCAGGGCGCCGGACAAAGCACTCGGGACAAAATGTATGTGAAATGGTTTGATACAGGAATGTTATACTATGTGATTTTAGTGTATTGAGTGAATGTCACTTTTTAACATTTCATGCCAGTTCTGTCCCCCGTATGCCCCGACGTCGCACGGAACGGAACCCGGAAGACAGCTGCCGGCATCGGCCGGAGGAGATGGCCAGGGACACTGCAGGAGGGACATCACGGAATCGCAGGACAAGGTAAGTGAAGAAGAGATCCCGGAGCAACGCTGCAGTGTATTCCCGAGTGTAGCTCGTGGTTACCGCTTTTGGTGCTGAAACTTTACCCCGAACTACACTCGGGAATACACCAGGGGGGTTAAAAGAACAAATTGTTGCCCAAACAGAAGCACAGTAATTTAGGTAGCAGGTTTAAGCCTAACACAAACTATTCTTAAAATATTTCCTCCCCTTATCCCTACCTATCCTGTGTAGTCGGTCTGGTAGTCCTGCAGCTTTGGCTCCCCTGTCAGTGGGTGGCAACTGCAAGGAAGAGGAGGGAGCTGACAATGGAAACCTATGGGTGATGTCACAGCCCCCAGAACTCCCAGCCATTGTTGAGCTCTCCGTGACACAGGGGAACCAGAGCTGCAGGATCACATGAACGCACCAGAGTGGACTTAAAAAAGGTAGCGGGGGGGGGGGAAGGGACAGTTTTAAGAATAGCTAGTGTTATGCAGGGGATACATGGTTCGAATTCCGAACGATTTTTGTATGAAAATCGGACCTAAGAATAATCGGACGATTTTCGCTGTTAGCGGGGCAATGGCTTCGGCCAATTTTCGTGTTTCCTCCCCATTTCGTTTATCGGGCATGCTGGAAAATTCGTGAAAAATTACGGATTTTCGAAATCATTGGTAGCACCATTGGATTACAGAACCAACGACGTTTTGATTTTCGGAAAAAAAAATCGTTCAGAATTTGAACCATGTATGACCTGCATTAGGTTTGAATTTCACTTTAATTCCCAGGTAAAGTAAATAAAAAATATAAACCACCTTTATTCAAAATAGGGCTTACTTAGTCAAATATTATCATGAGCTACATATTTACATCTTTTGCCCTGATGAAGTCACGTGTTAAGCGTGACGATACGCGTGGGCGGTGACGCACTTCCGGTCGGACGCCTTCTTTATTTACATTGGACACCCATGCAAGTACATCTGATCTGAGGTTTGATTTACATGTGATGTACAAGATGATTTTAAATGGATCAAGTGGCTGCAGCCACCTTATGTGCCTGAAGAGGAGATCTGCTGCCCTGTGATCCTGTGCTGGAATCTGTACATGAGGGGAGGTCAGTGTGGAGAGCTGTGGAGGATTACCTACTATTAAGGGTCCATGTGTTAGTGATCCTGAAGGCCTTTTGACCCCGTGCGGGTCGCAAGAGGGAGGTAAGCGGGCAATTCAGCCATTTTTGGATATCTCTGCACATTTATCAGCACATTTTTTTTTTTTTCTTCTTCAAGAATTGCTGTGGACTTTATATATGGTTTTTTGTATATTGTCAGGTGTTTTACACCTCACGGGACTTTATATATTCATTCATTTATTCATGTTTGTTTGCATGATCAGTTCTTAGTTTATGCGTTTATTGGGATGCACATGTGTTTTTGTGTTATATGGTGGGAACTGATTTTTAGTTCTGGTGGGAGGTTTTTCTAGCACATTGAGTCCTGTTGTGACTTACTTGTTTGATTTGGAGCACTATTGGATCCCATTGGATTACTTGGGGCACCATTCATGTTATTTGGTCCTTTTAGGACCTCGTATTGACACTTGTCACATGTGATTATTTATGAGTTTTTTGGCACTATTTAATATTGTGTGTTTATGTTATTTGTGTCACTAATTTTGCATTGTTTCACTTATTCATTTATGTGTGAAGAATTCTTATGGTAGTAGCGCTGCATCATTTGTCTTTCATTTACATAGGTACATAGTTAGTTTGGCTAAAAAAAGACAAAAGTCCATCCAGTTCAACCATAGAAAAAAAAAAAAAAGTTATAATCCTACACCCACAGTTGATCCAGAGGAAGGCAAAAAAACCCAGCAAAGCATGATCCAATTTGCTCCTGCTGGGAAAAAAAAATCCTTCCTGATCCCCGAGAGGCAATCAGATATTCCCTGGATCAACTTTACCTATAAATGTTATATCCAGTTTATATTCTGTGTATCCAAGAAAGAATCCAGCACTATTTTAAAGCAATCCACTGACCTGACCAGAACCAACTCTTGAGGGAGTCTATTCCACATTTTTACAGCTCCACTTTTTACCCCCTTGGTCCAAGTATACCACGTCCACCGCCACCCCTCGGTCCAAGTATACCACGTTTTCACCGCCACCCCTCGGTCCAAGTATACCACGTCCACCGCCACCCCTCAAGGTCCACCGCCACCCCTCGGTCCAAGTATACCACGTCCACCGCCACCCCTCGGTCCAAGTATACCACGTCCACCGCCACCCCTCGGTCCAAGTATATCCACCGCCACCCCTCTGTCCAAGTATACCATGTCCACCACCACCCCTCTGTCCAAGTATACCATGTCCACTGCCACCCCTCTGTAAAAGTATACCACGTCCACCTGCCACCCCTCTGTCCAAGTATACCATGTCCACCGCCACCCCTCTGTCCAAGTATACCACGTCCACCGCCACCCCTCTGTCCAAGTATACCACGTCCACCGCCACCCCTCTGTCCAAGTATACCACGTCCACTGCCACCTCTCTGTCCAAGTATACCACATCCACCGCCACCCCTCTGTCCAAGTATACCACGTACACCGCCACCTCTCTGTCCAAGTATACCACGTCCACCGCCACCTCTCTGTCCAAGTATACCACGTCCACCGCCACCTCTCTGTCCAAGTATACCACGTCCACAGCCACCCCTCTGTCCAAGTATACCACGTCCACCACCACCCCTGTCCAAGGTTTTGCTCACCCTCCTCATAAAAAGAAATCAGATTTGTTTGACAACTTCTGTCTTTCATAAATCCATGCTGTCTGTTGCTTAAAATATTTTTTTCCAGCAAGAACTCATCTATGTGGTCTTTTATTAAACTCTGAGCTGTTTCTAAGAAGTATGTTCAAAAGTTATTTTAGTGTTAAATTAACATAGATGAATAAAATTAACAAAATCAAACCCAATTAATCCAATATAATTTTTAAAGTATAGGGCAGCAGAGTGGCTAAATGGTTAGCACTTCTGCCTGGCAGTACTAGGGTTGTTGGTTCAAATCCTAGCCACAGCACCACCTGCCTGAAGTTTGCATGTTCTCCCCGTGCCTGTGTAGGTTTCCTCCAGGTACTCCGGTTTCCCCCCACACTCCAATGACATGCTGGTAGGTTAATTGGATGCTGTATAAATTGGCCCTAGTATGTGTATGTATGAATGCGAGTTAGGGACCTTAGATTGTACGCCCCTTGAGGGTTAGGGACCTTAGATTGTACACCCCTTGAGGGTTAGGGACTGATGTGAATGTACAATATATATGTAAAGCGCTGCGTAAATTGATGGCGCTATATAAGTACCTGAAATAAATAATAAAAACTAAAGGCAAAACTTTTTTTTTTAGTGTTGGATAGAGGAGAGATGGATTAGAACTCCTGTCAGTTTGTATTGTTGTCTGTGTCCCCATTAGGGAGATTCACCCTTTTCCCTATTTGTCCTATTTACCATTATCATTGAAATTGAAAGAAAATCCCAAATTTTGGGTTGGCCCCTAGAAAAGTAATAGAGGAGAAATGTTCCAATGGGGACACTAGTTCTGGTGACCTGGGGGTCCCCAAGGAATTCCCTTAACCTCCCTGGCAGTATTCCTGAGTGTAGCTCGGGGTAAAGTTTCAGCACCACAAGGGGTAACCCTGAGCTACACTCAGGAATACACTGCAGCGTTGCTCCGGGATCCCTTCTGCACTTACCTTGTCCTGCACTCCCGCGATGTCCCCCCTGCAGTGTCCACCGGCCGATGACGGCATCCGTCTTCCGGGTTCCGCTCCCTGCGAGCATCGTCCCGTACGGGGGACGGAACCAGCGGAAAATTAAAAAATTTAAAAAAGTGCCATTCACTAAATACACTAAAATCACATAGTATAACATTCCTGTATCAAACCATTTCACATACATTGTGTCCCGAGTGCTTTGTCCGGCGCCCTGCCTGCATTTTTACTGTTCTTTCTGCCTGGAAACTGAGAAACGTCCATGGCGTCCAAAAAGCGTCCCTTTAGGTCAAAAGCGGTTTTAGACCGGCTAGAGAACAGCGATAGTAAATCAGAACCACTTGCAGAATTGAGTGATAATGATTCGTGGGGGAAATTCCTCATCAGACGCTGAAAACGAATTTGTGACTTTGCTCAGCGATGTGTGAACTTGGCGCTATATTTCACATTTCAGTGTTTTTGGTTTGATTATATTATTGAATTAAATTTATTATTTTTTTATGATTATTTATTATATTATAATTTATGATTTCATGTTTCAAATTTTATCCTACCCGGGATGTTTACTAGACTCTTGTTCGGACAGATTTCAGTGAGTTATTCCTAAGAATTACAGGCCTACAATAAAAAAAGCGTCCCTTTAGGTCAAAAGCGGTTTAGACCGGCTAGAGAACAGCGATAGTAAGTTAGAACCACTTGCAGAATTGAGTGATAATGATTCGTGGGGGAAATTCCTCATCATACGCTGAAAACGATTTTACGACTTTGCTCAGTGATGTGCGAACTTGGCGCTCTATTTCAAATTTCAGTGTTTTTAATTCGATTATATTATTGAATAAAATTTATTATTATATTATTATTTTTTATGATTATTTATTAAATTATAATTTAGGATTTCGTGTTTCAAATTTTATCATACCCGGGATGTTTACTAGACTCTTGTTCGGACAGATTTCAGTGAGTTATTCCAAAGAATTACAGACCTACAATAAAAAAAACAACATATTTCCATGCAAAAAAATGTACCGCTTTGAGCACAGAAATATGGACATAATCAGACCACTACGGAGGTCAATTTGCAGGGATTTCCTCTCACTTCCTGTTTGGCTATGAGACAGGAACTGAAGGGAAATCTCAGCCATGGGATACAGATGGCAGAAAAAAAAAACTGACAGGGGTTATAACCCTCCATTACGCGATCCAAAATTATTCATTTAGTTTTAAAACCCATTTTAAAATGTTTCAGATCTGCAGCACTCATTAATATACCTGTGACCTTGACACAAAGGCTCAGACATTCCTGGTTATAAAGTGACAGTGCTCTGTGCCTGCTTTCCAACTTCCCTGCGTTGTCACCCTGTCACACATGCCCCCCGTTAAAACTACAAGCGGCATTGCAGACGCAAATTGCATTGACATGTTCCGCTGTTGTCACTATCAGAAAGCTGATCCAGAGTAATGATGTCATGCCAACAGTGACGTATATAGAAAGGAGGTCATTGAAAGAGGCTGCAGGAGAGATTTGGCCAATTAAATCTCCTTAGGGATAACATCCACGTTAACATTACATCCAGGATAATGCTACAATGTAACAAGGGACGTTTTAACTGTCAAATCCATTTTAAGGGCCCATTCACGCCTGTGTGATGCGCTTCTTTTGCACAGCATAGGGCAGCCCCATTCACTTGAACAGGCTGCCCCTACACATGCCAAAGTAGCTCCTGTGCCTTTTGTTGGCAGTGAGCCTTGCCTGGTTTTTGGTTTGTAACGAAATGCAAGTCTCCTAGCTGCGTTTGGGATGCCATTAACCACTTCCAGTCCGGACACTTTCACCCCCTTCCTGACCAGGCCAATTTTCAGCTTTCAGTGCTATCGCACTTTGAATGACAATTGCGCGGTCATGCAACACTGTACCCATATGAATTTTTTAGCATTTTTTTAGACAGATAAAACTTTATTTTGGTGGTATTTATTCACCACTGGGATTTTTTATTTTTTTTTGCTATATAAATGAAAATGTCCAAACATTTTGAAAAAAAAAAAGTGTTTTTCTTATTATTATTAAAATTTTGCAAATAAATAATCTTTCTTCTTAAATCTTGGCCAAAATATATTCAACTATCTTTTTAGTAAAAAAAAAAAAAAAAAAAATAACCCAAATTAGTTTAGAACCAAAAATTATAATTTTTCAAAACATTTTTTTACATTTTTATTTTTTTTATATTAGTATTTATGTTTTTTTTTTTTTTAACATGCTGTCACCCTAGCAGTACAGTGTCACCATAGTGGGGGGTGATGATTTTTATTTTTAGGCTGTTGTGAATAGCCTTGCACCATGTGACCTCTGTGATCATTCACAGATTTCACTAGTAGTAAGCAATGATGTCAGAAGTGACATCTTGCTTACTACTATTCATGTGATCACTGACTGGTCAATCACACAGAGGTCCCGTACAGCGATCGGTGTTCCAGAGGACACAGCGGGCACTGGATGCACTCCTAGGGAGTGCGCACCGGCAGGGAAGCTGGAGGACGTTTATAAACGGCCACCCGCTCCTGAACTGCTCCCGTCCGGCCGTTTATACACATGGTGACACTGTACTACTTGTGGGGGGGGTGATGATTTTTTTTTTTTTCAAGGCTGTTGTGAATAGCCTTTTACCATGTGACCTCTGTGATCATTCACAGATTTCACTAGTAGTAAGCAATGATGTCAGAAGTGACATCTTGCATACTACTATTCATGTGATCACTGATTGGCCAATCAGTGATCACATGATTGGGACCTCACACAGAGGTCCCATACAGCGATCGGTGTTCCAGAGGACACAGCGGGCACCGGATGGCGGTGCCGCGCACTCCTAGGGAGCGCGCACAGGCAGGGAAGCGGGAGGACTTTTATAAACGGCCACCCGCTCCTGCACTGCTCCCGTCCAGCCATTTATACACATGGGCTGGACAGGAAGTGGTTAAGAAATAATGGCACCACCAGCTCGATGTGCATTTTGGAGCATTTTTCGCTCGTTTCTGCATGTGTTCCCAGAAAGTTTGAATGGGGTCTAAGACTCTGAATGACAGCAGGGTTTAGGTCCTACCCAGATAAGTCAGGACACTAACAATACAATGCCCCTTCCCTCACACCTCCTACATATATAACTAGCCAGGGAAGAAGTACTATGGAAGAGAATACTTCATTGTGGCATCACAGTGGCTAAATGGTTAGAACTTCCGCCTGGCAGTACTAGGGTTATTGGTTCGAATCCCAACCACAGTACCACCTGCCTGGAGTTTGCATGTTTTCCCTGTGCCTGCGTGGGTTTCCTCTGGGTACTCTGGTTTCCTCCAACACACCAAAGACATGCTGGTAGGTTAATTGGATCCTGTCTAAATTGTCCCTAGTATGTGTATGTATGAATGTTAGTTAGGGCCCTTAGATTGTACACCCCTTGAGGGTTAGGGACTGATGTGAATGTAAAGCACTGCGTGAACTGATGGCGCTATATAAGTACCTAAAATAAATAAATAAAACAATAAATAAGGCTTTGCAGTGCACTGTGATCAGGTGCCAAAGCTTTTATTGCATGAGTTTTAACATCTTGGTATTTCCATTGCCATTACAGGTATAATACACTACCTAATGCGGTGATGGATATAAACTCACCAGCCTCTGTCAGCAGCATATCAGTCTGGCATTCCCAGTCCCTTAATTGAGTCCCAGCACTGTCCCACAGACTGTCCACAAGGTATGCAGCATGTTCATGGAGCTAAACAAAGGCATGAGAGGTTATCATGTATCCACCAAAATTGGGATTATTTATTGAATCCTCCTCTGGCTAACTGTCCTTCCATCTTAAAGTGAAACTTCACTCTCTCAAAGTTGATTATTTTGGAACCTTACAATGCTAGCATTAGTAAATATATATACTTTCCTATCATATTTAATGCTTTTACCCGTTTGGTTTACTTACTTTCTAGTTTCCAAGCCTAAGCAAATAATGTCATACATCCAATGAGTCTTCAGGAGGGGAAGAGGGGTTTTCTCAGCTAAGCACACCATCCTGCCTGTATGCCTGAGATAAGGGAAAATGGATTCCAGAAAGTAACTGCTACATAAATGATCTGCACTTACTCAAGATAGCCACAGCCATAAATGCTAGGGGTGTTTTTCTAAGTGATTTCCCCAAAATAGCATGGAGACACGGGTGGATGAACTTGATTTGAATATTAAAAATGAATTCAATGGTGCTTTTGGTTTGTAGTGTTCAGATACAATATAGTTCCGCTTTAAGATGCATTCTTGGCTGCAATTTTTTTTTTTACTTACCTGTTTCTGTAGGGGAAGAATTCCTCTTCTTGGCCCCAGTGATTTCAAGGAAGGGGCTGCGGAGGTCTTCAGTTCAAAGGGGGGATCCAAGAGGGTGCATTGCATCATTTCCTCCAAAAAGGAGCACACTCTCTTGGATCACATATCTTCTGCTGATTGAGAGGGAGGGGAAGGGGAATCGGCTGTGCCAACACTGATAACCCTTCTCCTCTCCATGTGTAAGAATGCGGATGGACAGGGTGGATTCACTGAAGGGCATTTAAAGTGGTCACCCTGCGAAAGAAAGGGCCTTTGATTGGCAAGGTCACAGAGTATTTACTACAGAAAAGAAAACAAAGGAGGAAAGTTAAATATGGACTTGTATTTACTTTATTATGTATAAACAGAACATGCTGAAATACAATCTCTTCAGAAGTAGATTGTGAAGGCTCCATATATGAATCAGTAATGGTAATAAGGGCCTCAGCCACACTTAGAGATGGAGGCCCAGTAAGGTCATAATTAGACTTTACTGTGGGTGCATTGGAGCATCCTTAGATCCTCTGCTAGCAGATTGTTCCATTAATTGTGCACGAACCGACAGAAAAAGTCCAAAGTGGACATAAGAAGCCATGAGGACAGAGGGTAGGTCGCAGCCTCACCCAGCAGAGCTATAGAAGACTCAGATAAGGCTGACCCTACAGAAATGGGGTCCTATGGTTTAGGTTACAGGCATGGATTCCTTCTGAGGAATATAGGCAGAGGTAACCCGTGGAAGCAGGACTGTCCTCTGTGCGTCTTTGAATGAGACAAGGGCTCATGTACTCAATCTCAAGAAGTCGGGGGTCACAGGTGGCAGGGGATGGCCAAGTCATTGTAGGTCGGTAAATGGAATGAGACCAGATGATCCATTGAGGGTTTTGGAAGCAAAAGCAGCAGAGGGATGGTGCTTCCTCTATATTGAATGGCAGGAGGAAGAGTGTACTCAACACTCCACCTAGCGGATGACTTCAGTGATCATTTCATCATTACTTCATGACCTAAAATTCCAGGTACAGACCTCAAGTCTGGCACTCAGTCTTTGAATGAAACAAGGCCTCATGTACTCACAACCCCAAGAATTCGGGTCACAGGTGGCAGGAGATGACCAAGTCACTGTAGATTGGCAAATGGAATGAGACAGGAGACCGGTTGATCCATTGAATGTACTCAACACTCCACTTAGCGGATGACTTCAGTGATCGTTTCGCCATTACTTAATGGCCTAAAATTCCAGGTCCAGACCCAAGTCTGGCGCCCAGCCTGCCACAAACCTGGAAATTCCAAGTGCCCTAAGCCTTCAAATAAGTTTTCTTTGGCATGAGAGAAATCCCCACTTTCAAAAGTGGGGGGGATATCGGTTGGCTATTGTGGACACTTAGGCAGCCTGCATATTAAATGTGTGGGTGCAGTTTTGCAGTCATGGTTAAGTCTTTTGGAACAAACTGTCATTGCCCCAGTTCCAATGTCAGAATGGTTTCAGGGGCTCTACTCCAACCTGTTCACGGTCCTCAAGCCAAAAAGAGGGGCATATACCTCATCTTCAAGGGTGATGAAACACACAAATTGCAGTAAGTTGTTCCTATGGTGCCACGAAATGTATGTAAGAAACAAAAAGAGGGCGCACAGGCCTAGTGCATTTCCTTAAAAATGAGATTTATTTATAAATTGTAAAATACTCACAAGAGGAATAAAATTAGATCAAAATGAGAAGCATGTCTCAAGGGATGCAGAGTGGTCCAAGAACCCCTAAAGGTGGTCTGGTGGGGGACTGTGAACCTCTGAATAGCTGGTGGCTGACATGTTTTGAGATTGTGTGCCAGTGTGTGTGAGCAGCCAGTGTCCTCTCTTAAAAGGGCTGGGAACCATGTGATGAGTGGTGTTGGGGTCCGCCCCTAAGGCGGAGTCATCAGGGGGAAGAGGAGAAGGAGGGGGAGGGGAAGGTGGGGGTAGATGCATACATCAAGTTGATACGAACATCTGAACACATCTGGACACATGGTGCCACAAAAGCATGACCATCATTCACTAGGAGATCCTTCGATCTTGCAAGAGAGCCAGAACTCACTAATCTGCCCATCTGAGAATGCACCTTGGCTGCAGCCATGCTTTTTGTACTCTCTTCGTATATGACACCAACCATGGCGTTGGCAGACTAGATTTGCACCTAATGGCCTTACAGAAGGGCAGTCCGGTAAATCAGGGACAGCCATATAGCTCACAGATCCAGTAGATGGATGGATAGATTGATGAAAATATTCGACTTCCCTGGGGACTACAACCCTTCACCAATAGTGTTCTCCGTTCCAGAAAAAAAAAAAAGGATTTTCTATTTGAGAGGGAGAGAAAGGCTAGACCCAATGTCAGCATTGAGCAACTCAGCTAGTAGAAGAGAGAAGCCCTTGAAAAATCTTGTTCCAGCAGAGCTGGTGAAAGATGTTCTACTCTTGAGGACACCGGGCTAAACTGCTATACAGCAGGAACAGGGGTATAGTGACTGTAGGGAACCTTTTCACTAAAGCCAACCATAGCCGGATCAAAATTTGTCTGGTTTAACAGCAACTGGATGAATTTTGACCCATCTACAGCATGAGCAAGCTGGTTGTGCTGAAATCAATCTATTGATCGACTGCAGTACAAACAGCCTGCTGGGTTTTTTCACCTGATCACTGTTGGTGGCTGCCAGCAGTGATCATTGTATTCTGCCGGTGGAGAAGGCTAAGGATATAGCGCCGCAGGATTCCCCCATCAACACAGAGGGTATCAAGCAATTTTCTTTCCTTCAACCTGTTGAAGGAAAGAAAATTGCTTAATGTATGGCCTGCATTAATGTCCCTTTTTATTCTTGCTTGATATCCAACATCGCTGTAGGTGCCAATATACTCACATGCAGGGCTTAAAATTTCAAGTCCTGAGCTACTAGCCAGGCCTTAGAGTTACTTCCCCACCAACAAACACACACAGAGACACCTGTACACACACACACAGGTATATACATACACACACGCACAGAGACACATGTACACACACACACACACACACACACACACATAAATACACACACAGGCACGTACAGACACACATACACACAGATACATGTACATACACAGAAGTACACATCTTCCCTCTCTCTCTATTCCCTTTCTTCTTCCCTCTCTCCATCTTCCCTCTCTCTCTCCCCCCCCTCCTCTCTCTCTTCCCTTTCCTCTCTCTTCTTCCTTCTCCCTCTTCCTTCCTTCCCTCTTTCTCTCTCTCTCCACTCTTCCCTCTCTCTTTCCCTCTTCCCCTCTCTCCCTCTTCCCTTCCTTCTCCCTCTTCCCTTCCTTCTCCTCTTCCCTTCCTTCTCCCTCTTCCCTCTCTCTCCTTCTTCCCTCTCTCTCCCTCTTCCCTCTCTCTCCCTCTTCCTCTCTCCCTCTTCTCTCTCTCTCTCTCCTCTCTCTCCCTCTTCCCTCTCTCTCCCTCTTCCCTCTCTCTCCCTCTTCCTTTCTCACATCATATGGGGCTGCACACAAACACCTTCTCCAAGGGCTGCTGATCTTCGGGCAGCAGGAAGGGGGGGGGGGGGGTTGCAGCTCCATACGATCCATCAGTGTAGGGAGCGAGATCCCACAGGACACAGCACAGCTCACCTGCTCCGGGCTTATTCCTCTCCGACACTTCTCCTCTACCTGCTCCAGGCTGTCCCCTGGTCCCAGCTCGTCAGCTGCTGGAGGGAGAGGTACTGGAGCATCGCTCTGCCACTGCCCTTCCCCGCATCGATTCTCCTGCTGTCCGGGCCACTGCAAGGGTACCGGTGTGACCCCTCTGCTGGTGGCCCTGCATGGCTCTGTCCGCTGCTGCCCAAAAGGTCCCTTCTTCTGGGGGGCGGTGCCAACCCCCTATAAATTGCCGGCCTAGGCAAACGCCTTGTTTGCCTCGCGTTAGATATGCCCCTGCCCTGGGGGACACACTCGCCCCACCATAATTTCCACTCGCCATTGACGAGCAGGCGAGTGGAAATTTCAAGCCCTGCTCACATGCATATGAATCTATTGTGCAATGTCCTTCAATGAATAATGGAAAAATATAGGATTATTTAACATTCACAATGAAATGAGTCCTCCATGGCAACCAGAAAACTATGAAACACAGGAGGACACAGCAATGTGATGCAAATATCACAAAATAGGAAAAAACACACAACCTACAGGTTACAGGTTAGAAGCGGAATAAAATGTCACGTCTGCTCACCCTGCTGGAATTAAAGAATTCCATCAATCTCTGAAAAAATATTGCATCTGCATCATGACGATTCCTCCTCTTCGGACTAAGCTCCTCCAGGTCAACTCTCAGAAACCTGTTGTAAAAAAAAAAAAAAATCAACATAGTTTAGAAACGGAAGATGCAGCCAACTAACAATATCCATTGCTCTCTTTATAAAAGCAAAGTGACACAGCTGGAGAAGACATTCAACAGTAAAAAAAAAAAATGTAGATTTTTGACGTAGCAGTATTATTTATTTATTTCAGGTACTTATATAGCGCAGTCAATTTACGCAGCGCTTTACATATATATTGTACATTCACATCAGTCCCTAACCCTCAAGGGGTGTACAATCTAAGGTCCCTAACTCACATTCATACATACACATATGAGGGACAATTTAGACAGGATCCAATTAACCTACCAGCATGTCTTTGGAGTGTGGGAGGAAACCGGAGTACCTTGAGGAAGCCCATGCAGGCACAGGGAGAACATGCAAACTCCAGGCAGGAGGTGCTGTGGCTGGGATTCGAACCAACGACCCGAGTACTGCCAGGCAGAAGTGCTAACCATTTAGCCTCTGTGCTGCCCAAGTATAATTTGTTTACTGGAGTACAGAACAGGACACGGGCTTTTTTAACCACTTGTTAAAAAAGCCCGTCTTTTACCCCTTCCTGTCCAGGCCAATTTTCAGCTTTCAGTGCTATCACACTATGAATGACAATTGCGCGGTCATGCAACACTGTACCCATATGAATTTTTTTTAGCATTTTTTGAGACGGATAAAGCTTTATTTTGGTGGTATTTATTCACCACTTATATTTTTTGCTATGTAAATTAAAAAGTCCAAATATTTTGAAAAAGTGTTTTTCTTATAAAATTTTGCAAATAAATAATATTTCATCACAAATCTTGGCCAAAATTATTCCATTATATTTTTAGTAAAAAAAAAAAAAAAACTCAAATTAGTTTATAACCAAAATTATAATTTTTAAACTTTTTTTTATTTATTTATTTATAACATATTGTCACCCTAGCAGTACAGCGTCACCATGGTGACACTGTACTACTTGTGGGGGTGATGAAGATTTTTTTCTTTTTTTTTTACACTGATTGCTTTTACACCCATAAAGGATATAAATGCAATCATTTCCTTCTCTCTGGCTGCATTCTTGCAGCCATTGAGAACTACTGAGTGAGCTGTGATTGGTCACAGCTTGTCACATGGTACAAGGCTGTTGTAAATAGCCTTGTACCATGTGACCTCTGTGATCATTCACAGATTTGACACACGTTTTGCCTTTGTAACGCTGATAAAATCGACTGCTGAACGCAAGTTTTCTGCATTCAAAAATACTACTGTAAACTAAAATGCCTGTAAACAACTGTAAACAAAGATGTATACATGGACACATAGGAAAACATTAGGGTGAGTTCAGGGGCTGCTGAAAAAAAATGCTGAACAGATCCTAAACGTGAGTTTATCAGCTGCACTGTACATGAGCCCTAAGAATCAGTAGATCCAGATATACAAAGTTGCTTTCAACTGTCCCGGTCATGTTCTTAAAAACTGGAACTGAAAAGTTTCCACAACAGAAGTTGTAGTATACTCATTTATCCAGCGGTCCTTGTTACCTACCTCACCTCCTTGCAGCACTGCAGCCTCAGCCAGTGCATTTGAAAAAACAACCCAGTGTGCTATATGCTGAAGAGCCCCAACAGTCTCAGGTTTTAGAGAGTAGAGAAAAAAGGGAGTGGTGACACTGTTTAAACATTTGTGGGAATCAGAGTAGTAAACCAATACAAACACTGGATGAACATGGTCCGAAAATTGCACAAAACACAGTTTAAAGAGAACTTTATTTTAACAGACAGATATATCAACTATATCAGACATAGTAAGGAAAATATGAGATCAATATAAAATATGGAAGGGTTCTATAAAACTAACCTCTTGTACAGGAAGTCCCCTGCTGCAGATGCTATGAAACGGTTGGTGGTATACACCAGGTTGTCAACACTTGCACAATCGTCAGCACTGAAAATATTCTCCATGTTCCTGCAGCAGAGTAGTGTTGTACTATCTTAGTTAAAGATGTAACCAGAAACTTTTGCAGTTAGATATTAAAGTGATATCATGTATTGACTAAGGTTGGCCATAGACGCCTTGTTATTACTTTACATCGGCCAAGAAGGCCTTGGCATAGACCTGATTCATGTGCTCACAGATGTGCTGCGGTGACTGTGAGATTTACTTGCATACTGTTTTTACTTGGTTTTTTTTTTTTTAAAGCTGGCCAAAGATGGGGGCTGATAAAAAAAAAAATAAAAAAAAACAAATGGATTCCCCTATCCACACAATCAAGGTGGATGGAGGAATCTTCCCTGCAGTGCCATTGTATTCTGACAGTGGGACTTCTCCGCTTCTCGAATAGACTGATCAGCGGCTGCAGCCGATTGTCAAAAGTTTTTTCAAAAGTCCTGTCCGACAGACAGTACTGGGACAATGTCATCTGGTGCCCAGGGCAAAAATAGTAAAGTGCCCCCCCCCCCCCCCCCCCCCGTTTATAATGAAAGAGTCAGTATCTTTTCAAAATCGGTTTCAGTAGCAGCAATAATAATTCCCAGCAGTGGTGTCAGTAGCAGCAATAATAATACCCAGCAGTGGTGTCAGTAGCAGCAATAATAATTCCTAGCAGTGGTGTCAGTAGCAGCAATAATAATTCCTAGCAGTGGTGTCAGTAGCAGCAATAATAATACCCAGCAGTGGTGTCAGTAGCAGCAATAATAATTCCTAGCAGTGGTGTCAGTAGCAGCAATAATAATCCCCAGCAGTGGTGTCAGTAGCAGCAATAATAATACCCAGCAGTGGTGTCAGTAGCAGCAATAATAATACCCAGCAGTGGTGTCAGTAGCAGCAATAATAATACCCAGCAGTGGTGTCAGTAGCAGCAATAATAATACCCAGCAGTGGTGTCAGTAGCAGCAATAATAATTCCCAGTAGTGGTGTCAGTAGCAGCAATAATAATTCCCAGCAGTGGTGTCAGTAGCAGCAATAATAATACCCAGCAGTGGTGTCAGTAGCAGCAATAATAATTCCCAGCAGTGGTGTCAGTAGCAGCAATAATAATACCCAGCAGTGGTGTCAGTAGCAGCAATAATAATTCCTAGCAGTGGTGTCAGTAGCAGCAATAATAATTCCTAGCAGTGGTGTCAGTAGCAGCAATAATAATTCCCAGCAGTGGTGTCAGTAGCAGCAATAATAATACCCAGCAGTGGTGTCAGTAGCAGCAATAATAATTCCTAGCAGTGGTGTCAGTAGCAGCAATAATAATCCCCAGCAGTGGTGTCAATAGCAGCAATAATAATCCCCAGCAGTGGTGTCAGTAGCAGCAATAATAATCCCCAGCAGTGGTGTCAGTAGCAGCAATAATAATACCCAGCAGTGGTGTCAATAGCAGCAATAATAATACCCAGCAGTGGTGTCAGTAGCAGCAATAATAATACCCAGCAGTGGTGTCAATAGCAGCAATAATAATCCCCAGCAGTGGTGTCAGTAGCAGCAATAATAATCCCCAGCAGTGGTGTCAGTAGCAGCAATAATAATCCCCAGTAGTAGCCAATGGCGTTATGCTATTTAAACTCCCTTGGTGGGTGCTCCTAAAGTGGCATTTCAGGTTAAACCTAGCTAGCCTTAAAAATGCTCCTTCCCCCCCTCCTAACATCTACACTAACTAAACTGTGTAAAACAAACAAAAAAAAAAGATGTATATACTTACCTATTTTCAGAATGCTCCGGTCCAGTCACATGATCTTCCCTGTTTCAAGCAGCAGTGGCTGCAGGGGAGAGGAGAAATGCCTGATAAAGCCTGGAGTGGAAACATCACCCATAGCTCAGCTGTTGCCAACATGCTCTCCTCTCCCCTGCATATGCAGCTTGCTCACATAGGGAGATCACGTGACTGGACTGGAGTCGCCTGAAAATAGGTTAGTCAACATATGTGTTAGGAGAAGGAGGGGACATTTGTATGGTTGGTCAGGTTTAAATTAGAATTCCACTTTAACCTGTTTCCATGGGTGGTTAGTGTGGCAGTGCGATTTAGAGATCCCTCTACATTAGTGATCAGTAGCAGTGTTAATGAGCTTCTTTGTGCTGCATTAGTGGACAGTGGCAACGTTTAATAATCCCGTCATGCTGCAACATGAAGAGGTTAATTAGCACTGCTACCGATCACTAATGCATCAATGATCATTGGCTGTAGATGAACCCCTTAGTGCTCAACATTACAAACCCCCCACACTGCCCAAGTGGTTAACAGTTACTCCAGTCCAGTTCACAGTTCCGCCTCAAAGCCTTATGGCAAAGTCTACATAACTACAAACACTTGTTGTTTATCCTCCAATGGCATAAACTGTCAATGAATCCAAGCACAGTAAAGAGCCATCGATATATGGAAATATAATGCATGAAACGTATGAAACATGAGCATCCCACTTCTGCTGTGTTAAACACCTATGTAGTGAATCCAAGAGCATCAAAGAAAATAGTGCCATGAGAGTAACTGTAGTTTAACTGTAGAGGAAGATGAAAGAAAGAGCGCACAAACCTTGCGCATTACCTCAATAAATAGTGACTAATTTTATTAATAAGGAAATATACTCACAAAATGATTGTATAACAGGCATAAGTAACCATAATCCAAACAGGGTTACAGGTAAATCAAACAGGGGGGGGGGGGTATGAAGGCTAACACGTTTCGAAGGGTGCTCCCTTCTTCATCAGAGCTGGGTTTGGCAGATAAAAACTTCAGTATGGCAGAGTTCCCATGGCAAGGAGATATTCAGCCACTGAGTGTCAGTATTACAGCAGTTCAGCCTGTTTAGTGTCCAAACCCTGTTTGGATTATGGTTACTTATGCCTGTTATACAATCATTTTGTGAGTATATTTCCTTATTAATAAAATTAGTCACTATTTATTGTGGTAATGCGCAAGGTTTGTGCGCTCTTTCTTTCATCTTCCTCTACAGTTTTATTAAGCTTCCCCAGCTTCATGATAGAGCTGCACAACCTCTGATCACCAGTGGATGAATACACAACACGCTGCTTGTCACTAACGCCTGTTTGATCTGAGTCCTTGAGCGCAGGAGATAATGGATCTTTAGTAACTGTAGTTTAAACCTGACTAGGAGGTGTACCTTTACGGCAAAAAGAGTCAATGTAGATCACAATGGAAGGCCTGGGCCAGGATGGACGGCCCGTTCGCTCCGATATGGTAGTATAGGACAGGTGGGGATGCCCCGTTTTGTTTCAAAAATGTCTTCTTGCTGCATGGATGCCAAGGGATTCTTAGTCCAGCGAAGAGAATCCTAAAAGGTCTGTCCCAAGACATCTCCCAGTTGAATGAGGCTTGATAAGGCCCATGCGCGCGAAACGCGTTCTCTTGGTTACCGGCTGCCATCTTCGGCTTGCGGTCCAAGGCTCCCGCTTCCTCTGTAGACTGTGGTGACGTCATTCCAGGATGCCGCGGTCTCGTGGTTCATCACTGGTGACAGGAGTTATCTCTGTCCTATACTACCATATTGGAGCGGATGCGCCATCCATCCTGGCCCAGGCCTTCCATTGTGATCTACATTGATTCTTTTTGCAATAAAGTTACACCTCCTAGTGAGGTTTAAACTACAGTCACTCTCACAGTGCTGTTTTCTTTGATGCTCTATCCTCCACTGGCTGCTGCTTTACTCATCTTATTACTTACTCAATCCAACTTGCACAATCCCTCGCAGTGCTGCTCTTTCTTACTGTCCCGGCCTCTGAATGACGTCATGTCAAAGGCAGGGGCTAGAAATCATCTGTCGGGTGGATCACTCTGCCTGACAGATAGAGATGTTTGTGTCTTCTAGCCTACTACTGGCTGGGACACGGTGCAGGAGGAGCGCAGAGACCGCTCCAACACTCGGCACCCCACAGCTCAATAAGACCACTGTGTATTCTAGGTAGCAGCCGTGATGTGTGCACTGCTGTGTATCTTCAGTGGACAGCTGTCCTCTATAAGGCTGACTTTAGCTAGCGCTGTACTGTGTCATCACCGCATTCCACCTGCGCCCCCTCCCCTCCGGTGAGCTGCTGCGCCCACGGCTCCTGACCCTTCCGCCCACCCCTTGTCCTGACCCTGCTGACAGAAGTCCCTGCTGAACTGGCCGAACTTTGATCCATCTATGGGCAGCTCCGGAGTGCTGAACACAGACTTTTCTAGAGGCGTGACAGCCAAATGCCAATCGCAACAATCTAGGTATAAAAAAAAAAAAGTTAATTGATGAAGTATAAGTATGGGAGTGAACATATGTCCAAGTAATTTCCTAATTTAATGGAAAATCATTGTCTGATGATGATCATTTTTCCAGGTACAGTATCAATGCAATTAATTTTTAAGAGTGGAGTTATCTGCTCACTGTACAAAATCGGAAATCCCCCAGCAATTTGAAAAAATAAAAATTCATCAGAACAGTGGCTGCACCCAGATCAATATTCGGACTGCCGGCTGTCAGAACACAATAGATGCAGTGGGAGACTCATCCATCCCCACTGTATAGTGTGGATGGAGGGATTTGTTAGATTTGTTTTTTTTATTCAGCTCCAACCATGTGTGGCCAGCTTCATGACCTGCGACCGTACCACTGCTTTGTAATAATACTTCCTCATTACTAAAACAGCCCTGTGAAGCAAGCAAAGCCCATTCATTCCAATAATAAAAAAACGAAATACATTCATGAACAGCACTTTCCTCCTAAATGATCTCTGTAGTGTTCTGCATTGAACACACCACAGGGTATCTCAGGTTCCATATTGCACTTTGTATTTCAGAAATATAGAAGAAAATGCAGGTGCTGCATGAGGTTTTTCCATAGATGTCCTGTAGAGTAAGGAGAGTGCAGCCCTGTTCTTTCTTCTCCGAAGGGCAGGGCTTAAAGTTGATCTAAAGGCAAGGAGGTTTTTTACCTTCATGCATTTTATGTGTGAAGGTAAAAAACCATCAGTGTGCAGCTGCCACCTCAGCCCCTCTTCCTTGTACTTACCTGAGCCCAATCCCGATCCAGCAATGTGCATGAGAGCAGAAGCTCTCCTAGGTCTCTGCCTTCTCATTGGCTGAGAAACAGCCAATCACAGCCAGTGAGGAGGGAGCGAGTACACAGACACACAGAGGTGGCTCAGGAGCTAATACACACTAGTGCAAGAAGCAGCTTGCTCTGGGGGCATTCAACAGGGGGGTGGGGCAAGGAGTGCCAGCGGGGAACCCGAGAAGATCAGGGATGCTCTGTGCAAAACCATTGCACAGGGCAGGTAAGTATAACATGTTATTTAAAAAAAAAAAAAAAAAAAATCGGAACCTTTACAAACGCTTTAAGCTGGCAACACACTAGAAAACTTTTGAATGAACGTTTGTATGAAAATTCTCATCAATATATACGATTTGGCAAATATAATTTGAAAGGGTTTCTAAAAAACGTTTGGAGTGAATGGACGTTCCTGAATGAAAACCACATTTATTTCCAAAAATTAGTTCAAGATAAACTTTCTACCCCGCTCCTTTGAATTTTCTCGTCACTGCTGCATAAAGTAAACGATTGAACCCTACTACCGATTACAATCATTCTTAAAATAACATTCTCTTAACAAAACCCTACTAGTGTATGGCCAGCTTTGTACACCCCAGAAGCCGGCTATATATTCCCCGAGAAACAAGAAGATAAAAAAACACATTCATGCCTGGCCTTTCCATGGTTCCCGTGCACCCCCCTCTCCTCTCCCCCCCCCCCTTTTTTTTTCTTTTTTCTCTCTCCTCTTCTTACTGTATGGTGCTATCTGACTGTCTGCTCCGTACTCACTTTCCTTTTTTTTTCCCTCCTTTTTCTTTTCTTTCAATTAAAAACCGCAGCGGACAGCAGGTTTTTGCCATTTGTATGTACACTGAGTTGTTTTGTATTTTGTCCTGGGATGGTACCCTTCCCAGTCGTATCCTCGAGTCCCCACATGTTTGTATCATTTTTGTTTGATGCCTACCTCTGTATTTTATATACATATACATACGGATATATATATACATATATGTATATACATATGGATACATGACATGTGTCTTCTGCTGTTCCCTTGTTTTCAATAAAAATAGAATTTGTAAAAAAAAAAAAACACTTACATGTAGATCAGACTAATCAGCTTTACTGATTCTGCGGCAACCTGTGGCTCTTTGTCTTCAACCATTGACAATATTCTGTCCTGAAATAGGGAGGTGCAACCACACACGGTGAACAAGAATTCAGACGGAAAAAATAACAGAGCTAAAAAAAAAAAAAAATCTCACCTTAAACCTATTCGTAAAAAGCTCCACTTTTCCACCATGGCCTGGGACAGCGTACAGTTCCTGCAAGCAGCGTATGCACTGCAATCTGACGTGTCCTTGCTAAGAAGCACAACAGTAAAATGACAAAACAACTCAAACAGTGAAATGCTAACACTAATGAAGAAACACTGCAACCACGATCAACTCAGGAAGTCTACTTAAAAATGAAATATGTTTTTTTTTTCTAAATCATACTTACCTAGGTGGATACAGCATCAATCTGATGCTGCATCTGTCCCCCCGCTGGCCATGAGGGTGACAACTGAGCAATCAGACAACACTGATCGCTCAGTTCTCCACGCTGCTCTGAGCAGAGAGCAGTGACTGTTAGCTCTGCCCCACTGTGAAGGGGGCTTTGAAGGGGGGAGCCAGCAGCTGGGCCAGGTGCTGGTCCAGGCTCCTGCTGGTCCAGGCTCCTGGGTGGATCTAGACCAGCAATGGGCAAACTACGGCCCGGCGGACCTTTTAATCCGGCCCGCGGAGCGTGATACTGTCAGGATGGCTGGGATGTGTGTAGGCGGGGCAGCGTGCGTGACGAACGTGAGGGGAGCTAGGCTGCTCTCACAGTCCGCCCTGAAAAACCGGTGTAGCATGAAAATCTGTCTCCTATGAGGATCTGTCCCCCTCGACGTATCTGCGCATGTGATCGCCGATCGGCTGCTAATGCCTGAAACTGGCACATGCGCAGATACGTCGAGGGGGACAGATCCTCATAGGAGACAGATTTTCATGCTACACCGGAACGGCGCGGGAACACGGCGAGAGGAACGCGCGGAGCAAAGGTAAGTGAATTGACACAGGGGGGACTTGGGGACTTAATATGGGGGAATGAATTACTATAGGGGGATGAATTACTATGGGGGATGAATTACTATATGGGGGATGAATTACTATATGGGGGATGAATTACTATGGGGGATGAATTACTATAGGGGGATGAATTACTATATGGGGGATGAATTACTATGGGGGATGAATTACTATAGGGGGATGATGAATTACTATATGGGGGATGAATTACTATATGGGGGATGAATTACTATATGGGGGATGAATTACTATGGGGGGATGAATTACTATGGGGGATGAATTACTATATGGGGGATGAATTACTATGGGGGATGAATTACTATATGGGGGATTAATTACTATGGGGGATGAATTACTATGGGGGATGAATTACTATATGGGGGATGAATTACTATATGGGGGATGAATTACTATATGGGGGATTAATTACTATGGGGGATTAATTACTATGGGGGATGAATTACTATGTATTATTTTATTAAATTATTTATTCATTATAATTACTATGGGGATGGATTACTATATGGGGGATAATTACTATGCTTACTATGGGGGAATATTACTATACTATTACTATACTTACTATGGATGACACATACACATCATTCATCTACTCTTGGTCCGGCCCCAATATATGAACCCATTGTGGCCCTCAAAGTCAAAAAAGTTTGCCCACCCCTGATCTAGACCATATGGTGAAGATCTATCCCCAGCCTGGACTGGATCTTTGACATCAGCTGACAGCTGACTTTAGCCTGTTGTCAGCTGAAAATGGGTCATAGGAGTACAGAATGAGCTGCACTTCTGCGATCCACATGAAAAGTACAGCCAAACGAGCTTTACCATTGATGCATTTTTTTTTATAATTCACTGCGGCAACCAAATTTTGCAGTGTTTCGGCCTAGGATTACAGCTGACGTGATACGTAGGCAAGCCATAGATTAATTAAAAGAAAGAAAATCACTCAATTTCCCTATCAACAAATTCAGTGTGGATTGAGAAAATGATTCCCACATTGCTATTGTATTCTGCTTGCTGGGGATGGGGGAAGTCTTCCTATCCAGCAGAATACAATGATTACTGCTGCGGGTATAAATGCAGGCAGTAATTGAATGCTAGAAATCCGATGTACCCAAGTCAATCGATGGATCGCCTTGGGTACAATCAGCCTGCCAATATATGGATCGAATCTCAGCCGGTCCCTGCTGAACCTGCTGAAATTCAATCCATCTATGGCTGGCTACCTCTCAAGCTCAAGTGTGAGCAGAGTGGGCCAGTGGCCTGCCATATTCAACCCCATTCAGAAAAAATATACCAGCAATATACCAGCAATGTGAGGGATTTACCAAGGATGTCCAAGATTTAAGGGCTAGGATGAAACATTACACACGTGGGGGTAAGCATTGTTTAAATGCTAAAATGTTAGAAATCACCAGAAGTGCAACTATTTTTGGCAAGTTGTACCAGAGAGCCTAATGGGGGCCATAGACGGGTAGAAAATCGGCCGATTTTCGCACCGTTAGTGGGTTAATTGGTCAGCCGTTTTTCAGGCTTTATGCACATTTTTTTTTTTATCGGGCATGTTGGAAAATTTGCGGCCGATTTTGACGATCGGCTGATTTTCGCACCGTTAGTGGGTTAATTGGTCAGCCGTTTTTCAGGCTTTATGCACATTTTTTTTTTTTTATCGGGCATGTTGGAAAATTTGCGGCCGATTTTGACGATCGGCCGATTTTCGCCCGTTAGTGGATGGCAGCCGTTTTTCGGCTTTATGCACATTTTTTTTTTGATCGAGGCAAGAGGAAAGGAAAAGGATTTTGACGATCGGCCGATTTTCCCAGCACTGATGGGCAAATCGGGATCGTTTTGAAGAGGAAGAGGAGGAGGAAAAGGAGGAGGAGGAGAAAGAGGAGGAGGAGGAATATCTGCATAAAACATCTGTATCCAGAATGGATACAAATGGATACATTGTTGCAATCGCAAGACTTTTTCATGTAAAATATAATAGCGGAGCTCTCTGCAAGGGACAGAAGTAATTATGGGGTTAAATGCCGGCCGTAGACGGGACGAAAATCGACCGATTTTTTTACCGTTGGTGGTAACGTCGACTGATTGAACAACCAATTTTTCTTTTTTTTTTTTTTTTAAAACGGACGGTTTTCGACCCGTCTATGACCTACATTAAAGTTGAAGTCTGCCCAGGGAATCCCCATTCACTCTAACTAATCAGTGTAGTAATTAGAAAAAAACCCAAAAACTATAAATGCATCAAATACTTACCTTGAATCCACAGTCACATGATGCTCCAGGTCCCACGTCTTGACTGCCTGGTAACGTGGACACTTCCCATCCCCATCCTGAATAGTCCAGTGGCAGCGCTGTGATGTCACAAAGATGGGCAGCAACCCGACGAGTTGGCAACAGATTCAGACTGCAGCTGGGGATCATCTGTTTTCACTTCCAGAAAAGTGCCACAGCAGGTATTGTGAACGTGGATTTAGTAACTTAAAATGGGGTTAGGAAAGTTCTTTTTTTTGTTTTGTTTTAAATGGGAATGGGTAGAAGGAAAGGAGGGTGGAAGTGGGCCGAGATGGATGGGTGGGGGTTTCATTTCTGCCCAAATATTGGTTTTAAAGCCCATTTGCTAACCCAAACTATTTTTTGGAGTGTGCAAGGAGCTGATCTATCAGTGTCTTTGTATGGTAGAAATCTCCCCGCTTCTAGTCATGTGAAAGGTATCAGAACAGAAAGTGAAATTCCCCAAAAGGGACAAAGACAGCATTTCCTATCTCCTTCCAGTCCCAGAGTTAAACCAGCCTCTCTAGGAGCGAAGACCGCTGCTGGCCACTTCAGTTTGAAGAGTGTGCAGCATCATTCAGAGGAATAATAAATTTGACCTCTATGTTTTACCATCCTCATGTTATAATATGAATCTCTATCTTCCTCACCTTGTCATGCAAATTCCATCCTAAATACTTCAAATAGCTGTCATTCAAAAAGGAATGGGGGTAGCTTTTGATCCAGATTCCAAGTTCTGCTATGCACAGAGCGCGGACATCAGCATGGACGTCACTATGTACAACAGTAGAAAAGAAATAGTCAAACCAAAGCTTTGAGGAACTGCTGAAAAAAATAACTAAAATATATCAAAATAAACACTTCGTATAATTAATGTGCCTTAATTACCCACATGGAAGAAAAGTATATTTTAAAAATATTCTTCCCAAATATATTGACATACATTTGAAATACTACTGGCCATATTCTGTATATTTCAATACACACACACATATATATATATACACACATACACACAAAAAAAATATTCTTCACGTTTTGTAATATATAAAAAAACACATTCCAACATACAGTGTGTGTATATATATATATATATATATATACACACACACATATACACACACACACACACACACACGTACACACACACATATATATATTTGTAAAAATAAATTTTTAACCCATCAATAACCCGTCTACATCTCAATTCCTCCACTTAACCTCCTCTTTTGCACTCACTCAGTGCATAAAATCCACCACCCACTCTGATGAGAACATCCTGGACCTCCTCTTCTCCCATCTCTGTGCTCCCCACAACCTCACAAACTCCCCCTTCCCTCTCTCTGACCACAACCTCATTACCTCCTCGTCCTCAAACGCCTACCCCCCCAAATGTCAAACTATTACCAGCCGGAACCTCTGCAACCTGAACCCTGCCCCCTTCCACTCCGCAGCTGATCAACTTTACAACAGCATCCTTCCCCTGTCCTGCCACGACTGCCTATAACAACTCGCTGTCATCAGCTCTAGACTCGTTAGCGCCTTTAACCACACGAAACATCAGACTCCGCCCGCTCCAGCCCTGGCAGACTGTTCATACCAAAACTCTCAAACGACGCAGTCGTGCGCTGCAGCAACAATGGCACAAAACCAGGTCCCAACTAGCGTTCACCCATTCTAAATCTGCCTTCCACAACTACACCTCCTCCCTCCATGCTGCCAAACAAGCCTACTTTCTGACCCTCATCAATACCCTCTCTCCTCTAATCCTCGCCGGCTCTTCTCCACTTTCAACTCTCTACTCTCTCCGCCCCCACCTCCACCCAGCACCTCACTCACCGCCCTTGAGATTGCCAATCACTTCAAAAACAAGATTGACGCTATTTGCAGGAACATCGCTGCTGCTCAGACCTCCACCCCACCTACCTCCTCTCACACAGCAACCCCCTCATCACACCTCCTCCTTGGCCTCACCACTGGTCAGACCTCCACCCCATCTAGCATCCATCTAACCCCATAGAACATACCTCACACAGTAGCCCCCTCAACACTCCACTCCTTCGACCCCACCACCACTGAGGAGGTCACCAAGGTCTTCTCTGAAGCCCGCCTCACCACCTGCCCCCCCTCGATTCTGTCCCCTCACAACTCCTACGATCTCCTCCTCCTCCATCCTACGCTCCCTCACCCACATCTTTAATCTCTCCCTCTCTTTTGGGCACATTCCCCTCCCCTCTGAAGCACGCACACATCACTCCCATACTTAAAAAGCCCTCCATGGACCCCACCGACCCGAACAACCTTAGACCCATCTCCCTGCTGCTATTTACATCCAAACTCCTTGAGCGCTTAGTCTATACTCGTCTAAGCTCCCACCTCAATGACAACAACCTCCTTGACCCCCTACAGTCTGGCTTCCGTCCCCTACACTCCACCGAAACCGCCTTACTCAAACTCACAAACGACCTGCTAACCGCCATAGCTAATGGCCACTACTCAGTGCTCCTACTCCTCGACCTTTCCGCGGCGTTCGACACAGTCGACCACCCCCTCCTCCTCAAGAAACTACACTCCCTTGGCCTCAGAGACTCCGCTCTCGCCTGGCTCTCATCCTATCTATCACAACGCTCCTTCAGTGTTACCTATAATGCTGCCACCTCCCCCTTACTCCCCCTCTCTGCTGGGGTCCCTCAAGGCTCTGTCCTCCTCCCTCGGCCAACTGATACACTCTCACGGTTTCAACTATCACCTCTATGCCGACGACACACAAATCTATCTCTCGACCCCCCACCTCACCCCTTCAGTCTCCGCCCGAATCACCAGCCTACTGAACGACAGACTGGATGTCGCTCCACTTCCTTAAACTGAACCTCTCCAAAACTGAGCTCCTAGTCTTCCCCCCAGCCCGTGCCCCCCCCCCCCCTCTCCATCACGTCCAACCATGCCACCATCAAGCCCACCCCGCAAACCAGAGTACTTGGTGTAACACTAGACTCCAATCTATCCTTCCAGCCCCAAGTCCAATCGCTAACAAACTTGTGCAGACTTCACCTCCGCAAAACATCGCCAAAATACGCCCATTCCTAACCCCAGAAACTACTAAGCAGCTCATCCACTCCCTCATCATATCACGACTCGATTACTGCAACTCCCTCCTCACCGGCCTGCCTCATCACAGACTATCCCCGCTTCAGTCGATCCTGAATACGGCGGCCAGACTCATCCACCTTACCAACCGCTCCGTTTCCACCACCCCCCTCTGCCAATCCCTCCACTGGCTTCCGATTGCCCAATGAATCAAATTCAAAATCCTAACACTGACGTACAAAGCCGTCCATAATATGCAAATACCACCCAAAACGCACTCTCCGCTCTTCACAAGACCTCCTTCTCTCTAGTTCCCTGATCTCCTCCTCCCAAGCCCGCCTCCAGGACTTCTCCAGGGTGTCACCCATCCTCTGGAACTCCCTACCCCAATCCATCAGACTATCACCCACTCTCCTCTCCTTTAGGCGCACCCTGAAAACCCATCTCTTCAGGGAAGCCTACCCCACCCCCTGCTAATTTCCGACCTCCTCCACTCTTCCTACCACTCCATCCCCCACAGCTTCTCCTCCCGTACCACTATCCCCTCCCTCCTAGATTGTAAGCTCCAAGAAGCAGGACCCTCGAACCCCTCGTGTATCGCACTGTATTGTTATTGTACCATCTCATGTATTGTCCCCCATTGTAATGTACAGCGCTGAGCGAACTGTTGGCGCTATATAAATAAATACTGTATAATAATAATAAATTTTCAAATATACTGTATGTCTTTAAAAATACATTTAATCTACATGTTTGGAATACATTTACAAATATATGTAAAAATATATGTCAAAATGACTTTTTTAGATGTTAAAAAAAATCTGAAGAATATATTTTAAAAAATATATTTTTTTAAAAATAATTTTCATATATCTTGTAATATATAAAAAAAAAACGCATTTCAACATACAGTATATATATATTGAATACGATCAAAATTGTAGTATTGCAAATATATGTCAATATATTTGGCAAGAATATTTTTAAAATATATTTTTCTTCCATGTGGGTAGCCACTTGTTTGTGACTACATCATACAGACTTCAAGCCCAGCTTAGGCTGGAATCCTGGAATTCCTGAGTCTGGTCTGCCCAGAGATGACAGGCTGAGGAGAGACATTGGCATGCAGTTGGCAGTATCTGCCAGCCATAGACACAGTATCATGGTATTATTAACCATTTGCCCTCCAGAGGATTTACCCCCCTTAATGACCAGGCCTCTTTTTGCTACTCGGCGCTGCACTAATTCAACTGATAATTGCGCGGTCATGCAATGCTGCACCCAAACGAAATTTACGTCCTTTTTTTCACACAAATAGAGCCTTTTTTCGGTGGTATTTGATCACCTGTGCGCTTTTTTATTTTTCACGCTATAAACAAAAAAAGGCCAAAAATTTTGAAGAAAAACAATATTTTTTTACTTTCAGCTATAAAAAATATATAGTAAACTCAAAGTTGGTTATAAATTTAGGCCAAAATGTATTCTGCTCCATGTTTTTGGTAAATAAAATCCCAATAAGTGTATATTGATTGCTTTGTGTGGAAGTTATAGCGTCTACAAACTATGGTATAGATACTGTAATTTACGCCATTTTTCTGCTATACGGCGCTGCGCTAGTTTAACGGACAATTGCGCAGTCATGCAATATGGTACATAAATGAAATTTACATCCTTTTTTTCCCCACAAATTGAGGTTTCTTTCGGTGGTATTTGATCGCCTGTGCGGTTTTTATTTTTTGCGCTATAAAAAAAAAGGCTGACAATTTTGAGGAAAAAAAACAATATTTTGGACTTTTTGCTATAAAACATGTCCAGTAAAAAAAAAAATGCAAAAATCTAATTTAGTCATAAATTTCTGCCAAAATGCATTCTGCGACATGTCTTTGCTAAAAAAAAACCCAATACGTGTAAATTAATTGGTTTACGTGAAAGTTATAGCATTTACAAATGGCGGGAAAGATACTGGGATTTTTAGGGTTTTTTTTATACTAATAATGGCGGCGATCAGCGAATTATGGCGGCAATCAGGGACTTATGGCAGCAACCAGTGACTTATGGCGGGACTGCGGCGGACATTCTGACATTGGGGGGTACTGACTTGGGGTCACTGACATCCCCAAAAACACTAATACAGTGATCAGTGCAAAAAAAAAACACTGACACTGTACTAATGGCAATGGGGAGGAAGGGGTTAACTTTATTTTGCAGGGAAGGGTTATAGGAGTGAGGGGAGTGTTTTACTAGGGGGCGGGGTGTGTACTGGGCGGGACAAGGCTCATCGAGAAAGAGAAACTGTTCTTTCTCGATCAGCTCTTCCTCGAGCTGACAGGAAAGTGACAGACAGCACAGCTACTGCAGCTGTGCTCTCTGTCACTGTTTACCGCCGATCGCCGGGAGATAGCCGGTAAGGACTGGCTGTGACCCGGCGACTGACATCTGCGGCGGTGATCGGCGGGACAGATAGGGCGGCGGCGTGCCTCGCGCGCGCCCCTATTTGTTTACAAAACACACGTTTTAAAACGTGGTTTTGCCTGCGAGTGCCGCCCTGCCGCCGTATATCTACAGTGGCTGGGCGGCAAGTGGTTAAATAGTATACTACATGGCAGTTACAATTGTAGCCCTGCAGAAGAGAGAGTGTAACGTTTAAGCGAAACTTCCCTCCTCATACATCATGGACTATTTTTAATCCTTATGCTGCTTGCAGTAGTAAATAGACAGCAAAATATATTAAATATACTAGTTTTAAGCTTTTTTAAAAATTTCTTCCATTACTTCCTGGTTTTCAGGCCTAGACAAATGATGTCATACATCCCAGAAGTCTTCATGGGTGGAGGAGGGCTTTTCTCAGCTAAGCACACCCTCCTGCCTGCATGGCTGAGCTAAGGGCAGATGGATTCCTGGAAGTAAATGCTACAAAATCATCCACCCATACTCAAGATGACCACGGCTTGAAATGCTAGGGGGGTGTTTTTCAAAGTAATTTCTCAGCAAAATAAAGCTTGGAGACATTGATGGGTGAATTTGCTTTGGATATTACAAATTAATTAAATATAATTTTTGATTTGTGAGGTTCATTTCAGATTTAAGAATAAGAATTCAAGAACCAATCTATCCGGTACAGAAGCCATTTAACTTAAGTTCACCTTTTGACAAAAAATAATAAATGCACGTTTTTTTTAAATGTAGGTAAAAAAATATGCATTCATTATTTTTGTTGTTGGAGCCTGGAAAGTATTGCACCAGAGATCAGCAGATTGCTGGTGCCATGCAGGACTCCTGCAGACCTGTCAGTACATTTGCTCGCCCGTATATCCTGTACAAGCAAACCGATACAATCTGACAGGAAGAATCAATGAACTACCACAGCGCTCAGAGCCCTGTGGTAGTTCATTGAGAGCTACAAGCCGACAGCCTCGAAGGCTCTTGGGACTTGTAGTTTTTGCATTCACAGAATACGTTTTTTTTTTTTAAATTTTGACAGGTAGCGGGAGGAGAAGAATTCCGCTAGCTGTCAAAGCGGGGGAGCAGGGGCTGGTCCTTTCTTAACACGTTACACCCTGAATATGGGCGTAACATGTTATGAAAGGTGAACTTTATCTTTAACCACTTGCTATCCGCGTTATAGCCGAATGACGGCTCTAGCGTGGTTGTCCAGTTCTGGGAGGCCTTCATATGACGTCTTCCCAAAACACGCCCCCTCCCGTGTGCCCCTAGCGGTGAGCACCCGGCGATCTTTGTGAGCGCTGTGTCCTACGGACACAGCTGATCATGTGATTAGGTAAAAGGCCAATCACAGCAGCCTTTTACCACGTGATAAGCTGTGTCCAATGACACAGCAGATCAGCAGTAAATGCAGTTGCCTGTCATCGGCAGCACTTTCCTCACGCTGTCACAGTGTGAGGAAAGTACGGCCGATAACTGGCAAATGTGACAGAACAGACCGGCACTGATCATCAGTGTCCTCATGATCAGTTCCCTGCAATGCTGCCCAGCAGTGCTACCCACTAGTGCCTCCCACCAGTGCTGTACAAGCAGTTGCGCCCATCAGCGCCACTTGTCAGTGCCCCCTATCCGTGCCCATCAGTGTCGTCTATCAGTGACCATCATTGCTGCATATCAGTGCAGCATCATCAGTGACTCCTCATCAATGCCCACCAGTGCCGTCTCTTCAGTGCAACCTATCAGTGGCCATCAGTGCTGCCTATCCATGCCACCTCATCAGTGCCCATCAGTGCAGACTATCCATGCCCGCTGTGTCCACCGGACACAGTGGAACACCAATCGTCATACGGGACCCCTGTGTGAGGTCCCAATCATGTGATCGCTGATTGGCCAATCAGTGATCACATGCAGAGTAGTAAGCAAGATAGCAAGATGTCGCTTCTGACATCATTGCTTACTACGTGTGAAATCTGTGAATGATCACAGAGGTCACATGGTACAGGGCTATTCACACCAGCCTTGTACCATATGACAAGCTGTGACCAATCACAGCTCACACAGTACTTCTCAATGGCTGCAAGAATGCAGCCAGAGAGGAGAAATGATTGCTTTTACAGCCTTTATGGGTGTAAAAGCAATCAGTGTAAAAAAAAAAAAAAAAAAAAAAAATCTTTATCACCCCCACAAGTAGTACAGTGTCACCATGGTGACACTGTACTGCTAGGGTGACAGTATGTAAAAAAAAAAAATTATATAAAAAAATGTAAAAAAAATGTTTAAAAATTATAATTTTTGGTTATAAACTAATTTGGGTTATTTTTCTTTTTTTACTAAAAAGATAACGGAAAAATTTTTAGCCAAGATTTATGATGAAATATTATTTATTTGCAAAATTTTATAAGAAAAACACTTTTTTTCAAAATGTTTGGACTTTTCCATTTACAAAGCAAAAAAAATAAAAAATCCTGCAGTGAATAAATACCACCAAAATAAAGCTTTATCTGTCTAAAAAAAAATGCTAAAAACTTGATATGGGTACAGTGTTGCATGACCGCTCAATTGTCATTCAAAGTATGATAGCGCTGAAAGCTGAAAATTGGCCTGGGCAGGAAGGGGGTAAAAGTGTCCGGACTGGAAGTGGTTAAATGCAAAAATCCATCAGCTGCAAGTCAGTGAGAATGGCTGACGTAACTGATAAGATGATATAATAACCTCAACACAGACTGGTATTGGAGACCTCATAGGCTACTGGAATATTACCTAACAGAAGGAAGAGTTTGCATGTTCTCCCTGTGCCTGCGTGGGTTTCCTCCGGGTACTCCGGTTTCCTCCCACACTCTAAAGACATGCTGGTAGGTGAATTGGCTCCTGTCTAAATTGTCCCTAGTATGTGTATGTATGAATGTGAGTTAGGGACCTTAGATTGTACACCCCTTGAGGGTTAGGGACCTTAGATTGTACACCTCTTGAGGGTTAGGGACCTTAGACTGTACACCCCTTGAGGGTTAGGGACCTTAGATTGTACACCCCTTGAGGGTTAGGGACCTTAGATTGTACACCCCTTGAGGGTTAGGGACCTTAGATTGTACACCCCTTGAGGGTTAGGGACCTTAGACTGTACACCCCTTGAGGGTTAGGGACCTTAGATTGTACACCCCTTGAGGGTTAGGGACCTTAGACTGTACACCCCTTGAGGGTTAGGGACCTTAGATTGTACACCCCTTGAGGGTTAGGGACCTTAGATTGTACACACCCTTTGAGGGTTAGGGACCTTAGATTGTACGCCCCTTGAGGGTTAGGGACCTTAGATTGTACGCCCCTTGAGAGTTAGGGACCTTAGATTGTACGCCCCTTGAGGGTTAGGGACCTTAGATTGTACAACCCTTGAGGGTTAGGGACTGAGGTGAATGTACAATATATATGTAAAGCGCTGTGTAAATTGACGGCGATATATAAGTACCTGACATAAATAAGAAGTATGAGGGTTAAAAAAAAATGCTTAAAATAGGATTTTTAAACAGCAGGTCAGCAGCACTGAAATGTTACAATTATTCACCTGCCAATAGTACATTTCAAAGATTGGGGGGGTCACCAAGCTAATAGAGTTTTCATCAAAAGAAAAGAAATAATGAGATAATAAAAATGACTCACCGATAACGGTGCACAAACACGCCTTTGAATAAAGAATTCATCATATTACCGACATCCTCCAAATTTGAGCCAAGCTGAAAAAAAAAGACACACAAATGAAATGTTATGTCATCCTTTAACACCCGTTGCTGTAAATCTCGGAAGAACTGTCCTCAGCTGTCAGTGAAGAATGATACAGAACCTGATCCAGCAACGTGTCTGAAATAAGAATGGTAAGCATTGCCCAGAGCGACAAATCACATCTAAGCCAGCATTTTATAGCGGAACTCCGATTTCAACTTATATACCACATGTGGGCATCGCAGCTGTCCTTTTATCTTTCTAATGGATTTAATCTTCATTTAAAATTCAAAAAAATGGCTTTGGCTATAATCAAACATCCGGCTGTACAACAGGCAGTGTCACACAGCTGTTTTTGGCTCTCTGTTCTATGCCCTCTTGTAGTTTTCTAAAATACATTTTTACATTATCACCCAACTACCCGCCAAATGTCATAGCTTGTTCTATTATGTGTTTAGATGTGGTAAGGGGTATTAAGCATACAGATTTACAGCCTCTTGCCATGTCCAACCACATACTTGCCCCCCCACATCCCTCGCTACTGAAGACACAATGCATTAAGGGAAATGTTACATAGTTAGTCTGGCTGAAAAAAGACAAAAGTCCATCCTGTTCAACCATTAAAAAAAAAAAAAAAAAAATTATAATCCTACACCCACAGTTGATCCAGAGGAAGGCAAAAAAAACCAGCAAAGCACGATCCAATTTGCTCCTGCTGGGAAACAATTCCTTCCTGATCCCCTGAGAGGCAATCAGATATTCCCTGGACCAACTTTACCTATAAATGTTATATCCAGTTATATTCTGTGTATCCAAAAAAGAATCCAGGACTTTCCTACAGCAATCCACGGAGCTGGCCACAACCAACTCTTGAGGGAGTCTATTCCACATTTTCACAGCTCTCACTGTGAAGAAACCTTTCCATGTTTGGAGATTGAATCGCTTTTCCTCCAGACGTAAAGAGTCCCCCCTTGTCCTCTGTGATGACCTCAGGGGGAATAACTCTACACCGAGTTCACTATATGAACCACTGATGTATTTATACATGGAGATCATATCCCCCCTTATGTATTATACATGGAGATCATATCCCCCCTTATGTATTATACATGGAGATCATATCCATCTTATGTATTATACATGGAGATCATATCCCCCCATATGTATTATACATGGAGATCATATCCCCCCCTTATGTATTATACATGGAGATCATATCCCCCCTTATGTATTATACATGGAGATCATATCCCCCTTATGTATTATACATGGAGATCATATCCCCCTTATGTATTATACATGGAGATCATATCCCCCTTATGTATTATACATGGAGATCCCATCTTATGTATTATACATGGAGATCATATCCCCCTTATGTATTATACATGGAGATCATACCCCCCCCTTATGTATTATACATGGAGATCATATCCCCCTTATGTATATACATGGAGATCATATCCCCCTTATGTATTATACATGGAGATCATATCCATCTTATGTATTATACATGGAGATCATATCCCCCCTTATGTATTATACATGGAGATCATATCCCCCCTTATGTATTATACATGGAGATCATATCCCCCTTATGTATTATACATGGTGATCACATCCCCCCCTTATGTATTATACATGGAGATCATATCCCCCCCTTATGTATTATACATGGAGATCATATCCCCCTTATGTATTATACATGGTGATCATATCCCCCCCTTATGTATTATACATAGTGATCACATATCCCCCTTATGTATTATACATGGAGATCATATCCCCCCCTTATGTATTATACATGGAGATCATATCCCCCCTTATGTATTATACATGGCGATCATATCCCCCCTTATGTATTATACATAGTGATCACATCCCCCCTTATGTATTATACATGGAGATCATATCCCCCCCTTATGTATTATACATGGAGATCATATCCCCCCCTTATGTATTATACATGGAGATCATATCCCCCCTTATGTATTATACATGGCGATCATATCCCCCCTTATGTATTATACATGGAGATCATATCCCCCCTTATGTATTATATATGGTGATCATATTCCCCCTTATGTATTATACATGGAGATCATATCCCCCCTTATGTATTATACATGGAGATCATATCCCCCCTTATGTATTATACATGGAGATCATATCCCCCCTTATGTATTATACATGGAGATCATATCCCCCCTTAATCTCCTCTTCTCAAGAGAGAATAAATTCAGTTCCTCTAATCTTTCCTCATAGCTGATCTCCTCCATGCCTCGTATCAGTTTGGTTGCCCTTCTCTGTACTTTCTCCAGTTCCCCAATGTTCTTTTTGTGAATTGGTGCCCAAAACTGAACTGCATATTCCAGATGAGGTATTACTAATGTGCTCCCTTGTTCCCTGTGTTTATCACTTTTGTGAAGATGTTGGTCACCACTCTTCCCCACCCATCGCTGCAAAGAGAACAGGAAAGAAGGGACTGCAGCAGTCAGGTGACCATGGCTTTTTAAGGTATTTAGGGAAAGTTATTGTTATACACAGAGATTATTAACAGGAAGGGAGGGACTTTGGGCTTATAAGTATTGCTTACTGGAATTATGCTTTAAATCTTCAATCTTGCATCAGCAGCAAGCTGAAGAGATGTCCTACCTCCTCAGGACACCAAGCAAATGTGGGACTTGCTGACTGTGCACTGGGGTACAGCACTGCATCTGTCGGATTCTGAAGATGGCGCGCACAAGCCTTTAAGCACATTTAAACAATATTTTGCTCCATTACCTCCTGTATCTTCTCACGCAGATTCTCCAGCCTCTCTGGTGCCCTATTTTCTGGGCTTTTTGCCCTCTCCACATCCAGTTGACGCTTGCTTGTGTCAATGTGATAAGTCAATTCCTTGGCTACTTTCACCATACCGGTCATTATTTTCATGGCTACAGATTAAAAAAAATACACATTTCTCATTTAATCTCCATATCACAGAAAGAATTATTAGGTTTGTTTACAAGTGCTTGGAAAGTGGAGCTTTATGACTTTGGTTGGTTTCAATAATGACCCAGAGAGCCACTTCTGAATGATCAACTCTTACATTAGTTTAGAAAATACACAGGATATACACCTCTTCCAATCAGGTATACCTAAATGCCGACTGGCAGCCTAAGCCACTATTAACCCCTTGCCTACAGGCACTTATACCCCCTTCTTTACCAGGCCAATTTTCAGCTTTCAGCGCTGTCGCACTTTGATTGAAAATTGCGCGGTCATGCAAGATTTTACCCGTATGCCATTTTTATCATTTTTTTCTCACAAATAGAGCTTTCTTTTGGTGGTATTTAATCGCTGCTGGGCGCTTTACTTTTTGCGCTATAAACAAAAAAAAGTGCAAAAAAAAATTTTCTTTGTTTCTATTATAACATTTTTCAAACAGGTAATTTTTCTCCTTCACTGATGTGCGTTGATGAGGCAGCACTGATGGGCACTGATAGGCGGCACTAATGAGGTGGCACGGATAGGCGGCACTGATAGGCAGCACTAATGAGGTGGCACAGATAGGCGGCACTGATAGGCGGCACTGATAGGCAGCACTAATGGGGTGTCAATGATAGGCGGCACTGATGATGGGTACAGATAGACAGCACTGATAGGTGGCACTGACTGGCATCACTGCTAGGCACTGACTGGCGGCACTGCAAGGCATTGACTGGGCAACTGCTGGGCACTGACTGGCACATCCACTGGGCACTGACTGGCAGCGCTGCATTGATGGGCACAGGTGGGTGGCACTGCTGGGCACAGTTGGGTGCAATTCTGGGTGGCACTGCTAGGCAATGGTGGGTGGCACCGCTGGGCACTGGTGGGCGGACCTGGTGGGTGGCACTGCTGGGCACCGATCATTGGGGCACTGATCATCAGTGCCCCGATGATCAGTGCCGATCCCTGCTCTGACAGCGTGAGGAAAGTGCAGCCGAGAACCGGCAATTGCATTTCCCGGAGATCAGCGTGTCACTGGACATGATCACATGGTAAAAGGCCGCTTTGATTGGCCTTTCACCACATCACGTGATCAGCTGTGTCCGTAGGACACAGCTATCACGGAGATCGCTGGGGGTATGCAGGAGAGTGCGTTCTGGGAGGACGTCATATGACACCCTCCCAGAACTGGCTGGCCGCAGTGTAGCCGCCATTCGGCTATCTGCGGTTGGCAAGTAGTTAAATGAGGCACTATGGCTACCAGGGCTTCCAACTTTGAAGAGTCTAACTACAAAAAAGTTGCAACAGCTGAGAAAATCCACCTGGATACAGGGACATACAACAGCCTTGTGTTCTTGAACTGCTTGCCCACCGCCCTATAGCAGAAATACTGCTACATAGTGGCAGGGCTGCGCAAAATCACACTATATATATATATATATATATATATATATATATATATATATATATAATATACACATGATTTTGCATTTCCGGGTAGGGGGCGCGTGAGCGCCCTACTCACGCCGGCATTGGCAGCTTCAGCTGACAATCACCAGGTCCCACCGGAGATTCCCCGGCGATCGCTGAGCATCACTGATGGGGGAGAGGTCTGTATGTAAACAATACTCTCCCCTGTCAGCTCTAGCACGCTGCTTTGTATTGCTCTGCACTGTAAGACACACACACAGCATACAGTAAAAGAGCACAGTTAACCCTTTAATCGTCCCAGATATTAACTGCACTGACACTAATGGCACTGGGCAGGAAGGGGTTAACATGAGGGATGATCAAAGGGTTAACTGTGTGCTGTTTCACTATGTCCTGTGTCCATGTGCTTCACTGTAATCACACTACTTTGCATGGCACAGCCATCCAAAGCAGTGTGCACGAGCGGACAGGGAGGAGAACTGTTTGTTTACAAATAGTTCTCCTCCGCATTGGAGAACCTCGGCAATCACCAGGCGCCGGCGAGTAATCACCAGCCGGTACAACGTGATTG